GGCGCAGTTGCTCTGCCCCGGGCTTCCTGGAATCAGTGGCTGATAAGTTTCAGCAGCAGCTGACTTGGTGTTCTTAAGTTCAATCTGTATGTCCGCTGTTGAAACTGATCAGTTTCAGCAGCGGCTGAATCTGGATGCCAGTTCCGACTTACATACAGATTCAACTTAAGAACAAACCTACAGTCCCTATCTTGTACGTAACCCGGGGACTGCCTGTATTTCGTTGCCAGTGACCTTGTTCCGAGGGCTTGTGCTATCAGGACTCTTCCCTCAATGGCAATGTCTAATAAGTCTGTATATGTTAGCTGTTTTTTTAACCGGAAAGACTCTCTACTAAAAATGGGCTGTCCCTGTTCTCATTTTATATGTAAACCAGATGTGAAAGTTTAATAAAGTTGTGTTTATCCATTCCTGTAGCTACCAGAAAGCTCTCTAAATCCAGCACTTCTGATTTCCATTCAAAGTCTGGCTTAGTCTGCTTGATGCAAGGCCAGCAAGTTTCCTACTTGGTTCCCGAGAAGCAGCAACAGGTCCCTACTGCTCTTGGGTGGAGGAATGGCTGTGGGGAGCTCTGTGTGCTGCCCGTTCTACCCCAAGTGATGCTCTGCAATTCCTAATAGCTAGGAACTCTGGCCAATAGGAACTGGGAGGGGTGGCAACTGCAGGCGCAGGCAGGATGCAGAGGTGCCTAAACGCACCCCCGCCAAGGAGTAGCAGGGACATGTCACTGCTTGTTGAAATCTGCCTCAGGTGGGCACTGTGCAGATCTAACCCCATCCCACATGCAAACATCCTCCCAGAGCCTGCACAGTCTCCCATCCCTGAGCCACCTCGCATAAAACTTCCTCCCTGAGCCCCACACCACCTCCCACACTAATTCTCTGCTTCAGCCCAGATCCCCCTTCTCACCTTGAATCCCTCATTTCTGGCCCTACACTGGAGACTGCACTCCCAGCCCAGAGTCTGTACCTCCACCCACACTCCAGCTCGGCACCCCTCTCCTCTCCCCCGCCACACGTACTCCAAACTTAATTTACCAGAATATTTGACTAACCAGCACCCTGCACTTCCCAATGTGCTGGATAATCAAGCATAAGGTTTACCTTTGAAATACCAGAAATATCAAGTTTGCTCTAGTCTTGATTTTGTTGAAGGATTTGTTGGATGGCTCATTGTGTGTGATGCCTTGCACCTGAATTGAAAGAGAAGTATAGAAGCTTTATGAACAATGTTATCGATTCATAATATTAACCAGGGAAGCTAAATTTTTTTAAAAAGTACCTAGACAGTTTTTAAAAATGCCTTCAGTTTTGTCTCTTATGCCATTTTGTCATTGCTTGAGTATTTCATTCTCAATCTCAGGGCAGCCAATAGGAAACTCTTAATACAAAGCACAAGTATAGTGAGTGTGTAGAATCTTTTAGCTCTGCTCTACATAAGTAATTTCAGCCTCTTAGCTGTAAAGGAGAGAACATTGTACCTCACCACTTATCAAATCTCAGCCATTTCTGCTCTTAGTTTTAAAAAGTCATTTTTCAGTCTCTTACAAGGTAGCTGGCCAAGGAGAATTTTTTACTAGTACAGGCAGTCCCCGGGTTACATACAAGATAGGGACTGTAGGTTTGTTCTTAAGTTGAATCTGTATGTAAGTCGGAACTGGCATCCAGATTCAGCCGCTGCTGAAACTGATCAGTTTCAACAGCGGCTGAATCTGGACGCCAGTTCCGACTTACATACAGATTTCACTTAAGAACCCCAGGCGTCCCC